GGTGATTGTCGCTTGGTGCGCTACAGATTCTAAACAAGTCAGCGTAGCAAACTTTGGTGCATTTTACTTGGATGTTAGGACTTTAACTTTTTGCCAACTAATGGGTTTTCCATTAAACCACTCAAAGTTAAACGTGTTGGCGTCATTGGGTTTGACCAAGCGGGGCCAAGCTCCCCTTTCTGCGCGCCGGCCAAGTTGGGATGCCGAAAGACGGCGCCCTCGCTCTTCAGTCTTTGCCACCGAAAGGGGGCCACGCCCTTCTTGAAACTCACTCAACGGGATATGTCTTCTGCTTGGATGGCGCAAACACGCTTGGTAGCGGTTTGGGGCTAAGCTGGTCATGCCTTTGGCAAGAGGAATTGATTTGTGCGCATAGCTCAGGCCAATGTTGTTTTTGCTGTTCTTCGGCTGCCCTGTTCTTGGGATGGATCTACACAAACAGACACATTCAGCATCCAACACATGTCCCAAGGTGCTTGTTCTGATCTGACATCCTGGTTGCTTGTCAAAGTTACCGGCATGCCTTGTGACAAGTGTACTGATATACTGTATAAGGAGGTGTGTTTGTGCTTTCGCTGTAAGTCTTACTTGCAGCACGATACTCGTAAGAGTCATCATTGACTACTCAAATAATAATTCAAGTTTGTTGGGTCAGATGGGCACAACCTTCCTAAGTGGGTCACGGTCGGCTCACTTTGTGCTTGTTCCAAATGCAGCCATTGCTTGATGTTTAAAGTTGCCATACCCTCGCCACCGTTGATGAGAACCACGCGGGTTTCGAGCAATAGGTGAGCCACGATCAAACCCGGGTAGATGAAGGTTAGTAAGCGGCAGTCCCAGCCAGAAAAAGTTGCGGCCGCTTTCTTAATTCTTTACATGGTTCTGGCTAGACCATTTTAATACCGGGTGTTGATTGTGACTCAGGTGTTTAAACATGATTAAACAGGTTTGCCCAACCCCTGAAGTGCAGCTTCGATCTCTGCGCAGGTGGGATCCTGCGACGAACCAGCGTGGGCCAGGACTGGCAAGCTGTGGGATCTTTCGGTGTAGGGGCAGTGGTTGAACTGCTGACTTTGGTTTCTAACCCAAAGGTAATCCTTAATCCTTACCTGGGGTTACGCAAGGAACCGGTCCCCTTTGCAGTGGCTTTCCTATAGGGATTGTGGATTAGGATTGGCCAACCCTCCGTTTTGAACAGCCCAGACAAGTGCTAGGTCAATACGAGGAGGTCCTTGATGTTCCAACTATTTGTTTAACAAACACAACAAGGGCTGAACAGTTCGAAAGGTAAACCCTGTCATCTGAAGTGTTGTGGCAACTTGACCTGTTTTTTGGTTCCCTAGCTTTCGTCGTGCCAGCAGGTAAACTGATGTTCACGTACGAGGAATGAGATCTACGACCAAGCTGCCCTCGATGGTAAGATCTTTCTCCGAAACAGGGGACCTGTCTCAAAACAAAATAGACAAAAGACAAGGAAGAAGCAGAAGAAGAAGACGAAGAAGAATAATAGCATGCTAAGAATAAGTGTTTTTAGAAGAAGAAGAAGAAGAAGAAGAAGAAGAAGAAGAGGAATAATAATAAAATGAAGTGTTTCTGTGGTCTCTAGTTCATAACTTCATGAACATGATCGAAATAACCTCATGGGGCAACCCTGTACAAACATGAGCGACTCCTGGAAGAAAACTGCTTCCAATAGACGTATGGATCCATGACACGGAAGCCCGTCGGACCCTGATCACTGGGGCTTTCCAACTGATCCACATCTTGTTCAACCGTGCGGAGAGTGGAACAGAGTGAACATAGACCCAGTTCCAACCTGTGGATACTGTTTCCCGAAAGGAACCGCATGATCCCAAATGGTTCCTCAATCCATTGGAGTTGCCGTATTTGTTTCCTAGCGAGCTCACCCGAAACCTGAACGAGCTCGTCCCTGTCACCCAGGATGGCTCCTTTGCTAGCAGAGTTCCCTTCCCGGTGCGGGAAATACAATTTATTCAGATGGATAGAGTTGTGTCTCAAAAATAAAACCCCGAACCAAAGATGGGGTTCGCTTTGCTGCCTACAGATGCAAAACCCAAAGTCCGGACATGAAGCTGGGTTCAGGAGTCCCGGTGGGACTGTGAGAGGCCCTTGTAGAACATGGCTGTTCAAAGGCAATCCGCGAGATCCTTTCGAGAAAGAAAAGTGGACATGGTTCAATTTCGTAGGGGTTTCCGAAGAAAGGACTTCGGATTTGGGTTGGCCGGCCAACTCGGCGTTGTGAGCAGTCCAGGTCATTTTGGATGCTGTGGGGCCACTATAGGTGTACCCGGTGCCACACGGAGGGTCGTAGTAAGCGTCCAGCCGTGGGAGATGTTCTTCAGTTCTCAGCCAACCGCTGTACTATGCACAGTCTTGAATTCGGCGAGCCCGGCAAATCGACGTTTTGCCGGGCACGTGCATGCCATAGCGCGGGGTTGCTGAAAGCAACCTGGTGCGCGATCGAGGGACTTTCGATGCCTTCAACCCATGGGTCAGTTGCCTGATCCCAATTCCTGTTGCTTTTCCCTGGAAACATAGGTGTCCTTCTTGGTTGTTTTGGTATAAGAAAATAGCTGGCACTGGTTTACCTGGTTTACCTGGTGGTTTAATCATCTACCAGGGCCATCCATTTGCCCTAAAAGGACACCTAGGAAAGCCTGCTTGAAAAAGCGACTACTGTCGCTTCAAAAAGCGGCTTCTCAGAGCAACGGAGTGCTGGCTCGAGCCGTGACCCTGATCACGAAAAGAGCTGAAATAGCTGCCGCGCAGGAACATGAATCACACAATCAAGGGTTGAGTCTGCTCGTCCACGATAAAATGAAGTGATCATTAAATGACCGTTGAATTTCCCTGTGCCACGGTAAACCATACAGGAAGGGAAAAGCTGGCTTGTTTTCCAGCACCCCCCAATGGCTGGCCAATTGCCGGCACATCGATTTTGGGCAAAACGATGTCACTTTATGTCTAAGTGACTGCAAAAACATTTTGCTATCAATTATCACTCATCTGTACTTAGTGCAATTTGTGCAATGATACAAGTGACCTTTCAGGGTCCTTTGGAATGGGGTTGCAGGGGAAAGGGGAGAGCAGCAAATTTGAGGTTTGGAGGGCAAGTTTGAGGTTGGGAGGGGTTCTTGAGGAGCGTGTCACGGCGTGTCACGGCGTGTCGGGGGGTGGCCAATTGCCGGCACATGTACGTTGAACGGTCACTTTTTTGGGATATGAGCGTGGCACCAGCGTGTCGCCCCCCCCTCCCCCCCCGCGCGTTGCACGTGCAATGATCATACATGCCAGCCCAACCCCTCAATTGGATCCCCTCTAGTATCCGGAAGCGACGTTTCAACAAAAGTGACTTTCCACTGCACTTTGATGATGGCAAAAAAAACCATGTGACTACAAATCCATTTTTAAGCAAGTGCTGGTCAATTGCCGGCACTTCACCCGGGACGCCAATTAGCGGCCATTGGGGGGGCCTGGTTGACATATAACTTTAGTGGACCTCTTGTCCGCTTTGGCATTAGAGATCCGGGAAGAGAAAGTGGCCCCCCAAACCAGTTTACGGTCCAACTTGTCAGTTTTCGAGGCCGCTCCTGTCAGAAGCCTATGGGACTTCACTAGTGTTCGGGTCAACATCAGGGTTGTCCTTCGTTTGGGTTTGGAAGGGGTCCTTTCCAAGGTCTGCTTGACCCTGGTGCCTTTTTTGCATTTCAACATGCCAGCCTTTATTCTTGGATCCCCTGTTCGCTTAAAAGGGGGCCAAAGGGAGACCCCAGATCACATGCTTGCACTAACTAGGAACCCAGTCCAAACAACTGAGGGTCAATCTGGACATTTCAGACGAGGAAGGTCTCGCTTTGCCAGTTTTCAGAGGCTCATGAGAGGGGATGCCTACATGACTCAAAATCTCTCCGAGGAGCCACTACGGGTGTCACAACAAGCTGCACCAGTTGGGCATCCAGCTGTGTATTCACAGTGAAGTTGATTCGTTGCATCCCGCGGTGAAACTCACAGCGAGGGATCAAGTGAGCTCGGCGGTGAAGGATCATTGCCGGATCCCAGGTGAATCATGGTGAATCTGGTGCAATTTTGCTGGGTTCACTGAAGTGCCCATGGTTCAGTGGCTCCCTCTATCTCTCATTTTGCTTGGCTCCCCTCCAAACATGGGCAATCCCCAAATTGTGTTCTTGTCCTAGCAGCTGTCTAGACATGCCTTCACATGTGCAGGTGCGCTAGATACGGTCCAGAATCAAACCATAAGTTAATTTTTGCAGCGGGATGTGTTGCAGTTTAAGTACACACCATGGACCAGAATCAAAGCATCTGATTTTGGTTCCGGGCAAATGCTGTGGTTGGCTGGGGGGGGGGAAGGGGCAACTGAGGTCCCCACCTCCTGGTTCCTGGCCTTCCAGCAACAGTTTGGGCCTTTGAACTGTTTGAGAAAACCGGCATTTATGGTCCAAACTGGTGGGTTGCACCCAAAAAAACTGAGAGGTCCATTGTTCGGCACTCCAATCAGTTGGTGCGGCTGAGGTGCTGCCTGAGCCAAGAGCTCTACCGCCGTGCCATTGAGGCAGCGGACAGCTGTCTCCAGCCAGAGCCACAGCCAGAAGCGCTGGGATTGGAAGTCGGGGTGTTGCTCGTTTCGCTTTCCTAATTGTCGACTTTGCTCGTCTATGCCGTAGACGGCACCGGGGAAAAAAAGAAGTGGGGGTTGGTTGTGACCCTGAGTTCCGCGCACTTTTTGGCGGACTCTTTATCGTCGCTTTTCGGGGTTGGACCACATGTTCGGGGGGTAAACAACGAGTTCAACGGCTTCTTTGGCCCATCTCGGGAGGTGAGACTTGGATGAAATCGGCCGTGGAAGGCCAGGTTCCAGGTACGAAGCTTTAGAACCATTTTACTGAAACCCAAAGTCATCGGCTTTCAGCCCCTGCGAAGCTTGGGCCGCAGCATGGTTCATGTCAAGAAACATCTTCCCGATGTGCGCAGTGGACAGATGGGTCTCGGCAAGGATCGACCCGGAGCACTCCAAGGCTCTCTTCCGGCGGAGCGCGGAGCCTCGGCTTTGGTTGAAGCCTTCGGGTCCTGCTGGTTTCACCATGGACATGTTGCATCTGTTTTCGGTTAAAGTCCGAGACTCGTTGCTCTCCTTTCATTGAGGGAGGTACCAGAAACCTAGGAAAATGGTTGCAACTCATGGGAAGTACCAGAAACCCAGGGAAAATGGTTGCAACTGGTACTCATGCTTTGCCGAAAATATCGCTTCGGGACCTCTTTTGGTGAGCAAGGGTGAATTAGATTTCGAAAGGAATTGGCTGTCTTCCTAATCATTTCTGAACCAGGATTATGGAGTAGCGGTGGCCAAGTTCCCGGCAGTTCGTGCGGCAACCCCCGGCAGAAGAATCCTCAAAGAGGAGACTCACCATGTCGAAAAAGAGTATGTGGCTGTGAAGTTCAATAGGGAACCACCTGCTACCGAGTTTCAGCACTAGAAAGAGACCAACCAGCAGCATCCTAGTCTCAATGTTGGATACATAATTCCAACCTGCCGTTCCAATTCCCATGAGTAGCTAGATTGAAATTGAAGAATGGAATCTTTGACTAATAATTCCATGAATAGCTTCTTTTTTGCCTTTGTATGGGCATTGGAAGTGGGGCTGTAGGTTCCAACTTTTTGGCCGGTTCTACGCAGCAGGCAGGTCCGAAGGCTTGGATTGAGAAGCATATCCCGGCAGTGTCCCGGAATTCTGATTGGCGCAAAAGGAAATAAGGGGAAATCTCTGGGCAATGGGGAAATCGGCAAATCGAATCAACAAATCAAACTTAAAGAGGATACGTATTGGTTGTTCACACAAATCAACCAGGTCCTTGAGCTAACCTTTATATTGGTTTAATCCCCAGCTGCTATCAGATGTTGAAGGGGACTTTTGTTGTTTAAAAAGTAACTAAACTTTCTATTTTGGAAAAGAAGAAGGAGAAAAAGGACACACAAACAAAAAAAAGCAAAGCAACTGGGAGGGGAAGCTTTTGGCCCAGGTGGCTCGTCCCCGGACCCTCGCTCGCTCTCTCAGGCCTCGCCTTCGAGGCCCTGAGATCCTATGGCGCGGCGCTGCAGGATGTGGAGGCGCTGAAGGCGCCGCGAGGCTCAGAGTTCGCCGCGAGGCTCCTCCCCCCTGGGGGCGTGTTGATTTTTTTTGTTTTGCGGGGGAGTTGGGTTTTTTGGGGCAAGGGGGGGTTGGGCCTTTTCTTGGGGTCAAAAGTAAACCCGGGTAGTCCATGTTGGCCCACAGCCCGCAGGCTTTGACACAAGGTGTGACAGGTCAAAAGTAAACTTGAGCCAAATGCTTGAGCCGGCCTTTTTTCCTTGCTTAGCCGATCTTTCAACACATTGAACACTTGGGAGGCTGCTTGAGAGACGGTCATTTGGCTGTGGGTCAAAATTAAACCATTAGTCCATGTTTCCATTTACCAGGGTTCCATTTGGGTTCCAGTTTTTGACCCACAGCCACATCCATTGACATGGGGTTAGTGTCCAACCATCTTTGAGGGCGTGTGCCTTTAAAACATAGCTCAAAGGTGAGACACTCCATGTCGCAAGTGTTCCTAATGCACAACGCCATCCGCCTTGGCGTGTCTTATGTGTTTTAGGGCGGGGACGGGGGGGGGGGGGGGAGCCTTTTTGGGGCTGTTTCTGTTTTTGTTGGTGGGGGGACATGTTTTTTTGGAGTTGGATTGTTTTTGGTTTTGTTTTGTTTCTTTTGGGGGGGAGGAAGGGGTTTGGGGGTTGAAGAGCAGCCAAAGGAAACCACCATTTGGGTTCCCATAGTTGTTAGACACACCCATACATAAGGGGGACACAGCCATACACAATATAAGGTGTTAGGATTGTTTGTTTTTCTTGCCGGGCTGGTTCGAAGGGATCTGTTGGTTGGCCTTCAATTTTAGAACCAAAAGGATACCCTTGCCATTCTCGGATCTTAGCCGATTCCTTTTTGGAGAAACACCCCGATCTTATGTTCGATATTTTGGGGCAATGGCCTGAGCGATGTTTGGCTGCTCAGCCTGGTCCTTATCCAACATGTGCCTTGGCTCTAGAAGTAAGTTCGCGAGTGCCCCAGCTCAATGTTGAACAGTGTACACGTGAGGGTGGTGTGTCAATTGCGCGGTTGGGCGTGCGCACCTTTCAAAGAACCCATGTTCAGTTGGGAGCGCAAGGCGTGATGAGAATGTGCTCATATCGGCAGCGCACGACTTCTTCCATCAACAATAGTTCGCTGTTCATGCACGAAGTTGCAATCTAACTTACCAGCAAAATCCCCAAATAGAATGCCCCAAACCCACCATCTGGTCCCTCTCTCCCCACCCATCGGTTCCCTCCCCCCCACTCGACTCCATTGCCCGAGGCTGGGGGGCGGCGGTCTATCGGAGGACGCTCTCAGCGCTCGGCTCGCCGAGCTGCAGAAGAAGCAGGCGATCCGTGCGATCGGAGCCGGTCCACGTCCAGTGACACCTGGGCTAGGTCACCCATCCTGGTGCCATTTTTGTCCGTTTCTTTTTTGGTTGGGAGGGTTTCTTTACTAAAATGGACTAGAGAAAAAAAGGGTATCCTTATTCTAACCTCTCTACTGGAGGACCTAGTGGGGGTTGATCAATATTCCCTTCTCGGTGCTCGCGGTGGGGTTCATGGGTCGGGGGTTGGTTAAGATTCCCAGAACGGCCCATGATGACTTTTCTCATGTGGGACGGTTTTCCAACCAATAGTCATCCCATGTAAAGGGCCTTTTGATCAACCGCAACGTGTTGTTCTGTTTTACACCAATATGTCCTATGCAAGCTTGGATAACCATGTTGGTCGAGCCAACAGTCAAGGGGACATTTGCTCTATAGGCAAGCTCACCGATCTGGGGTATAACGAGCTCACTCATGATGGTCCCTTACTAGGGGTGGTCCCTAAATCCGGTGTGCGAGTTATTGTTCCCAGATTTGCCGAGTTTGCCCGCTGCAAATGGACATGGAAACAACCAACACATTGTTAAATGATTGTCCTTTCGGGCTTTGGGCAACTTGTAGCGAGCTTGTCGGAGCTCACCCATGAAGGATCCTTTCTGGGGGGTTCCTCAATTTCAGCTTGCGAATGGAAATTTGCGCAGATCTGCTCATACCCTGAGTTCATGAACTTGGTCGACGCGACCCAGCGGTTAAAATGATCGATTATTCGCAAAAGCGGCTAAGCCCAGAGCTCACCGTGCAGGGTATGCGTGTTAGACGTGGTAGCTATGTGGTACTCACTAGCGGCACAAGTACATCAGGACATTTGGATGTTTCGTACAGTATCGTACAATCAATGACGCCCACGGATGGATGGCTTGCTGTATGTAAATGATCTGAGAGGGCTCCTGATTGTTGCAAACGCGTATTTGATCCATGTGCGAACTGTAGCTTCAGGTAGCAAACACGGGCCGTATCTTCGACAACCCCTACTCACAATTTTGAGCCAACCCGTCGGAAGATTTCAGGCCGAAGTGGAGCGCCTTGAGAGAGAGGAGCAGCAGAGCAAGGCGGAGGATCCTGTCAGCAGCCCAGAGCGCATGATGCTCATTTCTCCAGGTGAGGTCTCAGATTGGCAAGGGGCGTCCAACATCTCAAGGAACCCTCTTGGTGTTGGATTGGTTTGTATATGGATTTGAACCCCTGGTTCTTGTGGGCAAAACGGGTTTACCACTTCGTCCTAGGGCAGTCAGACGATGCTCATGGACTCAACACGAACTCGGACTCGTGGAAAGTCCCCCGTTTGGTTGACTTAAAGTTCGATCTAGCAGGGGGTGAGTTAGCGGAACCCAGCTCATGACCAGATGATTTGTTATTCAAATGCTGATTCAAAGTCAAGTGAGTGCATCAAGCGAAACATGGCCATGTCTTGCTGGAGGTTCCCTAGACCTGACCCCAGTTTTGGGGTTTGGGCTTGCACTTGAGCCACCCGCCAGCATTGAGCCTGTCACCGTTCCACAATAATCCTTCTCATCGTTGTGGACATTTGGTTGGGTCTTTGGACATTAACTTGTTGGGAAACAGTGGTTTTTCCATTAGACGCGCAAAAAGCTAAAGTTTTTGCAGAGGGGTCACCAGCAAAGAAGTCATCATCCTCACTGTCCTCATTCTCGTCCTTGTCCTCATCCTTATTTTCACCCGGCAATGTCATGGTCAAGGTCGTTGGCATCGACGCTCTCGTCATTTGTGGCTTTGCTGGGCGGTGCTGAAGGTGGTAGGAGTTCGTTGCGACTGTGGCCGCAATTGCACTGCGCATAGCCCTTGACGCTTTCTTATCAACGGAGTCCAGCGTCAAGTCATTTCGCCAGCTCTGGCACGTGTTCAGCAAGTCTGTGTGTGTGTGTGTCAAAGTCACGGAGACCTCGCTTTGGAGGAACTGTTTGTCACAAGGTTCCCACAAAGGGCCCGCAGAAACGAAAACTCCCCGGCAGCCTCTTTCTGCCGTGTCCCTGTCTTCCAACATGGAAGGGCCGCTCACGCGATCACACCCACCACATGATCATGGGACTTGACTTCACGCCCAAAGTTCATGCAGTGACTTGTGGTAAGATGGCGAGGTTTGTGTAGGCCCTTCTATACGCCCTGGACCTTGGCCCCAAGCTTTTGGCTCCTCACCCGCTGAGATGGGCATGGCCATGGTGAACGTGAAGGAGCGGCGGATCGCCATGGTATATAGGCTAGGAGCCACAGAGATCATTGGCCCCACAACCTTGGCAGAATTTGTTCAGCGTCCCCTGAGCCACCACAACTGTGTCTTCTTTAGGGTCCCTTTGAAGCTGTTTGTGTTTTTCCCAAGCTCTTGGGAAGTCGAGAGGATGAAACTTGTTTGACAAGCAACATGGTAGAATCCATGTTTCGGGTCGCCCAGCTTTTTATGCATGGTTGTGGAAGATTGGATTAGATTCTTTATAATATGGCTGTGGGTCAAAACCATTGGTACCATTTTGGGGTAGGTGAATTCAGCACCCATTTTGGAACCTATTTTAGTGGTTGGATTGGGATGTTGGCTGGGGGCATTGGATTCAACCATCGTTCTTTTCAAAAGCCAGCTGTTTCCGAAGGGTTTTGGGTGGTTTTGTAGAAAGATGTAGAAAGAATGGGGAAGGTACCCCTAGAATATTTCATTTTGGTCTATTTTCGTTGTTGGATTGGGATGTTCACTGGGGCTACGATTTGGATTTTGACCCATGGCCACATATTTCATCTCTCGGTGGATTGCTCGCGGTGCAAGGCTCAAGTCCCTTCGATGCGCTGAAGCGCCGCAGGAGCGCTTCGACGAGGTCTGCGAGAAGTATGACCTCCGCGACGGTGAGGCGGCTGGCCAGGCGCGGGCTGACGCGGGACTGCTTGCATCTGCCGAAAGGAATAGGTTTTGTTTTTTCCTGTTGGTTTTAAAGAGAATCAACTGGAACTACTTTTTCTCTTATTTTCAGGGGAGAAGCAAAAGGAAGACTGTCATTTTCATCGGGGTACCCTTGGGACCCATGGGGTGTGTCATTTTTCTGGGTGAATTATAACGACCTCACACTACCGACTTCACCCCAAATGGTGGTTTATGTGGGGAATAGGGCCCCAACCACCTGATTTCAGGTTGGTGAAATATTAGAATTCACCCAGAATTTTGTGAGGGAAAGCTTTCTCCGGGTTGCGGAGAAACTATTAGGAACCCATTCTCATTTTGGGTGTCACCATCTCACATACCCAATTGTTTTGACAATGCACAAGACCAACCACTCGGCGATTGGCCAAGTTGGCGGCGGGCCGGCTTCAAAATTGTCATCACCCGTGATGATCCTTTACTCATTGCGAGTTCCTTTAAACTTCTTGGGAAGACCGGTGCAGTGACAAAAAAATGAGTTTTTGTTTGGCCCATCCACTCAGGAAGTGAGTTGAAACATAGTAATTTACCCAGATGATGTAAATGTAAGTATACGTTAAATAGATCTTCTCCCCACACACACACACACACACATGGCATTGTTCCTCAGCAAATGTTGTCTCTACTGTTGAGGGTCTTGTGGCTTCCATCTAAACCTGCAGGGGAGAAGACTATTGCCACTTTGCCATTTGGGTTCCTTCATGTTCCCTGTTAATGAGGTTTTGGGTTTGAGACCTCCTGTGTTAGCATCCCATATTCCCTTTTTAATAGGTAAATCGTCAAGTTCTTGCAGAGGGGTAAGTCTGGCCAGATATGCGCGCTGCTGGACAGAGACCCCGATGTAAATGACGTCACCATTTCGTCCCCAATAGAGATCAATACCCATTTGTCCGAAGTTGGCATGTTTGTTCTCGTCGGGTCTTACTTGGCTTAGTAAGGCTTCTAAGTGTTGAAGGGGTTTTGGGGGGATATAGGGTGCTGAACACATTGGCTCTTGGCTTGGACGTGTAGACAAGGGCTTGGTGACTGCAAGTCTTGCTCGGTCTGTGGGAAATCTTGGTCTTGAATCGTATTCCTCTTCACAAGCTCCGGGCCCAAATGGATCCTAACGCATGCTTTGGGGCCTTGTGGGCAAGCTCAGTTTGGCATGGGGTGTCTCCATTCAGGCTGTGGAATTTTGTGGGACTCCGATGCTTTCCTTGGCCCTGTTGAAAGATATTGTTTCTTTCGCAGCGGAGTTGGGCAGCTGGTCAGAGGGGTGACAGTGCCACTATGTTGAGATCTGTTAACAACATGGATCCTGATGCATATTTCTGGTGTAGGAAGGCCGTGTATATGCACTTTATGTATATATATACATATATAGACATATATGTACATATAATATGGCATGGAGTGTCAGAGAGAGTTAGTGTATTGCCAAGGGGGCGGGTGTTGTATCCATGTCGAGCGGCTCTTTCGATCTCATGTCCGCCTCGTGCGAAGAAAAGCAAGCCGTAGATTTCACGTCAGCACCCGTCCTTGGACACTTCTGCGGGTCAAGTTGTAGCCTTCTCCTGGGGCACTCCTTGATGTGAAATGCGCGGAAGACAAACCCATCTTTTGCAGTGCCTCCAATTGTTTCGTTGGATAGTTCCTCGAAGCTCCACTTGAGGACGGGAATCATTCAGCGGCAAATGTGAGGATGCGACTTCGGACTCAGTCCCTGCAACACCGGCTGCAGGTGGCAGATTGGCTGACTTCTGGTGAGCCCGCAGCCCAGGGGATGGCACGCGAGGCAAAAAGGTGGAATGGCCGGGCCTACGACTTGGACGGTTTTGAGGGTTTATACTCCCAGTTATAGCCAAACTGGTTTATAACCCTAGCTAGAAACAATCAGGTTCATAACCTGTAGCCAAGCAGAGGCGGCCAAGACTGCAATAGAACGAGGAGGATGGGTTCTTGGCTAAGTGGGGGGATGTACTTGGAAGCGGTGCAAGCGGTACATGACGTTGGCCATTGACACTGGTCCTCCACGCAGAAGATTGTGAGTCAATCTTCATTGTGGCGCGAGACAAGCAGGAGCATTCCACAATGGGTGTTGAAACCATATCATTCCACAAGCAGGGTGTAAGTATGATCAAAAGTAATACGGTCATAGCGAGCGATCACTTCACAATACTTCACATGGCTCTCACTCCTTCGCGTGGGTGGAGCACATAACAGCATTGCCATGGCAAAAGTTGGGTCTCGCGTGTCTAAATCTCCAGGCCTGTAGCGTGGACCCTTGGGGACAACGTGCCCCAGCGACCGCTTCAACCAGCGACCAAGCCAAAACCTCGGAACACGGCCCAGCCTGAAATCCCCTTTTGCGGCAAGCACCTCAATCGACTGGCCAGCGACTCAATACAGATACCTGGGACACAGCAGACACGGGTGGAACTTCTGAGCATCTTGCATCTTTTCCCAGCTCTGACCAGAAACTGAGAGCCACGGCCAGGGCCAGGGCATTGTGATTTGACCAGTTCCCTGCCCAATAGCGCATAATGTCCATTTCATTCCAAAGGGACATCGCAAGGGAGTTGGGTGTGTCTTTTTGTGAGGATATCCCTTTTGGAGTGGGTTTAAAGGGAACTCAAAGGAAACTCACCTTTTCAATTTCTCAAGAGGCACCCACTTGTTGTTTTTCAGGCCCCCTGCTTTTAAGCAATCAGTAAGTGCCGGCCTCAGGTGGGAAGTGACGCCCAAGCGAGTTGCGCAGCGGTTCAAGATGGAAGAGGAAGACGCGCAGGCTTGGCGCATGCTCGGACTTGGCAAGAGGATATATTCTTCCCTGCAAATCAGCATTCACCCAAAAGCGGGCTTCTCTTAGACTCATGCTTGTTCCTGGGTTTCACATGTCTCTCACTTTCCTGAAGCGAATCGACCTTTTGACCGAACCTGGAAACTTGGTTTCGATCTACCTGTCTAGCTTCCAAAGGTCAACGTGGGCCAGTGGTGGGCACCCGAGGTTCAGCCCGGTTCCGGGTGTGCCTGTTTTGCAGACCCTGGGTTTGGCACTCAGGTTTGGCACCCAGAATTCCTTGTGCTTCCATTCGACTGCATGTGGTTTTGGAGGGATGATGTATCTCCTTAAGTGCTGAGGCAGTCATTGCAGTCAACGACTCTGGTACCAGAGGGGGTGTATGTTCCTCTACTGCTATTGGGTTGGATCTTTAGACTTTAACTTTTTGGATTCCCCTCATATTTCCTGTTAAGCAGGATCTACAGCACCCAAGGTTCCAGATGCAATATGCCGAACGCAGCTCGCAGGTCTTCCTCGCATGGATCGCGCAGGGCCTTGACTTCAAGGCGCGGCCCGGGCCTCCCGTCAGGGCGTCCGGTCTGCTGGCAGATTCATGGAGTAACTCTCGGCTGCACAAGCATGACGCTGGTTTTGTGGGCGCATCCTTTCGAAATGGATCGAATTCCCTCCGAATTGGAAAACACCTCGGACTGTTGATAGGGGGGTTAATGTAAACGTAAACGTCTCAAAAGTACACCCTCCCCCTTCCTTCCCCGCAGAAGGTCAATCAGATTCAACAAAATCCGGTGGAGGTTGTAGGCCATTCGGCGGGATTGAGGACGCATCCAGAATTTAGATATAGTCTCAATCGGGCAGACGTTGAAATCCAGTGTTTTTGTGCGAGAAAATGGTTCTGCCGTACGGGCCGTACTAATTGGGGCGGTCCGGAGGCCCGCGTCAGATCCTGAACCGCGCCTGGCATTTACTACTCCAAGGTTGGCATTGTACACGTTACTAAGGCGGCCATTAACGTTGCCCGCAGTGCCAGAGAGCGTGACTCACAAAAGTAGATTAGGGTATTGGTCAAAATCAAACCACCAGGAAGCCGCGGGTTTTAGTCCATGCTTCCATTTAGCAGGGTTCCACTGATATTTGCCATTTCTTTAGTTTGTTCGCCTGAATCATCTCACGCTCGATCCCTGCCTAGCAACACTAGCAAGATCAGCTTACCAACTGCGCAGGGAGGCGGTTGTCGGCCGGGAACCTGCTCCAGAAAACCTTTCAGGGCGCGGGGGATAGACAGTGCAGTCCTCATTGAGGTATTCCACGTTTTGTTAAGTCACGGGCTTGGTGTGTGCGTGTGTGTTGTCTTTGGGTTGGAGATTTAGGTGATCCATTTGTTTGCCGCTTCGATGGTTGGATGGTTTCAGAATGGCGTGTGGATGCAGTTCGACATTGGACGTGGTCAAGGACTTTGGACCTGAAGAGAGAGAGGGCTTCGATTGGGAGTGAACTGAGCGGCTACAACCCCCACCTGTTCCACCTGTTCAACTTTAGGTTCCGAGAATTGCACCGTTTGACCCCGCAAGGGGAACCTGGGAGAAGTTCTATGGACCCCCCCTATGAATCAACAGGGCCAGGTCTTGAGGCCCCAGCGGCTCCCGTAAAAATGTCCTGGTTGCGTGCTGGGCTCCCCGCAAAAGCCCATGGGAATCCACTTTACTGTATAGCGAGCTCAGCGATTCGAAGGAAACGGCATGCTCACACTGCTGTAGCTCCATCAGGGATCCCGCAGATTGTTACTTTTTTTGCAGATGAAATCACTCAACCCAAAACATGGGTCCATTTTCTTCAGTTCAGGTCACTGGTTACAGCTTGGCTTTGCTGGGTCTTGTGGGGCTTCACCAGAGATGATGCCACCCCCCAACCCCCACCCCCCCAACCCCCACCCCCCACCCCCCACCCCCCACCCCCCCCCGCCTCGCCCTGATTTCTGGGTTCATGGAAGTGAGCATTTGGAGGGGTTCGCAAAATCACATTTGGGAATATTTGGCTTTGAGACCACCTGTTTTGGAGAGTAGTTTGGGGATGTCATTTTAATGGGCCATACTTCTGGTGTCATTATTTTGGCGGTTTCTGGGGGTTCTTAAAGTCAGAGAATGGTTGGTTGTTTCCCTTTAACCCACCACTTGGGTGACTTTGGTCATGGTCAAATAGTGAGGCCAGTACTTGCATCGCAGTTTTCTCCGCCAGGTCAAGAACACACAGGCCCAATCAGAGGCTGGCGCTCTCGCACCGGCGTCCTCCCTCGTCCAGCCGGGCGCCAACGTTTCGAAGTGGAACCGCCTAGGTCTCCATTGGAACGCGTGGGGTCAGCTTAATCTTCCATTTGCTTAAGAATGCTTTCTATTTTTTCCTGTTGGTGTTACAAAACATCTATCGCCACTGGAAATGTGTTCATTGTTTCCAGGGGTCTTAACTAAATGGAAGTAATTACATCTTTGGCCTTCACTGGAGGGTAAGTGTAAGTGGTCCAAGAGCCCCTGACGTGGGGTTGCATGAAGGGTAGATCCTACATGGCTTCGACTAGCGTCATGAAGCACTCCCTCAGCAAATGCGCGCAAGGAAGCCCGAGATGGGTTCCCAACAGGGAATCACGCCACATGGTTTTGGGCGCTCCATGATAAGTCTCAAGAGAGCAAGCAGTTAGTATCCACGGTGACTTGAGCCCTTTGAGCTTTCCAGTGGCTTGCAAGGGAAGCTTAGGTACTTACGCATGTGTTGCCTGGATTTCTTGCTGCCACGCTTCAATCCGGGTGAACTCCGGCTCTTCCTTTTTGGAGTAGCCTGAGCACCGGCCACGCAGTGAAAGCGTTCTCAGAGCTGATCCCCCTTCATTTCGCCCATCGTTCTTGTAGAACCAGCCATTTGCTGAGAAGGATCCCTGGATTTAAGGAGGAGGAAGCACAGCGGAAACTTGGTGCAACATGGGCCTTTGGAACCGAACACGAGCCTCAGGTGATACAGACTGATCGCCAGAACGGACAGGTGTGCCATGGTCAAAAAGAGCTGAGGGTTCGTTCAACAGCCAAGGGGTCCGCCAGTTTTGAAAGCCTCGTCCATGGTGGGATATCGGATTCCCATTGGGGGAACCGCAACATGCCCCAGAGTTTTGACCACGGCTTGTAGGGAGGCGCCGCTTTATCTCAGCAGGCTACTCGTGCACCAGAGGTGCCAGAGAGTTTCCAAATCTGAGGGCCTCCGGCGATAGACAAGGCGATCGCCAGAAAAGAAGCGCCGTCGAGAGTTGCCACGTACCTGCGACCTAAGGGGAAATTCATGCGGATACCTAGAGTCTCCATGACCCTTTAAAAATGGGGTCATTAGATCAAATAATTGGGTCATGGACCTATTTATTAAGGGTCACTAGGTACACGTTACACTGCAGAGTAACATGAAACCAAAACAATCTCGTTTTGGAGGAATCTCCTTTTGGGAACCATGGGAACCCACTTTTCAGGTTCCATGTCAATCTGCGGGGAGTGATGTTGACCCCCGAAGCAACTCCCCATTCAGGAACTGTCCCTTTTTCTGGCCCAAGGTTTGCCAAAATGACGCCCGGACGCATTTTTGGCAGGCACCGAATCTCTCGGTTAAAGACGAGCTTTCTGTCCAACAAATCGCAAAAGGGACAAGCACATTTCAACAACAACAACACAGCTTACCGGAAACGGCACAGATTCAAAAGTCGATGCGCACGTTCCTTCTACTTGACTACAGTCCTCCTGGCCGGCGGAAAAGGACCAGCTGAATCAGTACCCACCAAATCCGTTTTCAATACTTGGAAGGGTTGCAAAGCTGGCCATTGGCATGCATACTGGTTCTTGCTGGGTTGAACAATTCAGGCTCAAATTCAAGAAGAGACCCTCTTTTGGCTTGGTGATTTGTGTGTCCTGCCTTCGGAGCCAAGGCTTGTGCCTTGAGAGCAGATATTGTTTTTCTCCGCGCTTGCTGAAGAACTTCATCCCCGATTTCCCCTATGTTGACATGGATGGTCTTCCATTTTCAGAACAGTTCACAATCCTGCATCCTGCCCTTGGGTTTACAAAAGAGTTTGGTGCCGTTTAATATGTCCCGGGCAGAGTTCATAGAGAATATGATGTGCATTCAAGCCACTGATGTCTCACACTGGTTGACTTGTTTCTTGGTTGAAGAAGGGATACAGGAGTGGATAATAGGTGGGTCTTCGCAGCCTGCCACCATCGGAAGAAGGAGCTCCTCTTTTGACTCCATGCTTCGTTTTTTTTTTTTTTTTTTTTTTTTTTTTTTTTTTTCGGAGAGAGGGCATGTTTCCCGGGGTACTTTTTTTCATTCTTTCCAGGGATCCTTCCTTCTAGAAAACCTCCGGAATCCCAGGGGAAAACAGCTGGTTCTTGAAAATAACGATGGCTGAAAATAATGGAAAAGGAATCAACCCCTACAATGTTGACCAGACCCGGGATCCCTGATTTGACTTGGAGACCCTGGATCCCACAAACTTTGCCTGGCCCCGTGGGAGCGCCTCAGGCGACAAGGCGGAGGAAGAAAGCGCGACACAGAGGGAGACCATGGAAGTCAAGGAAGAGAGCAAGGCTTGGTGGCTCCCAGCCATCGCCTTGGCTTTTTAGCCTTTTAGTGTTTAGTGTTAACCCACTAAAAGTTAAACTTTTAGCGGGAGATCTAAGGGCAGCCCAGAAGGTGAAGGAGAAGAAGGAGAAGAAGGTGAAGGAAAAGAAAGAGAAGAAGGTGAAGGAGAAGAAAGAGAAGAAGGGCAAGGAGGAGAAGCAAAAGAAGAAGGAGAAGAAGGAGAAAGTGGAGAAGAGCCACAAAGCTCTCAAGGCCGGGATCTTCCAGCTAGAGTCTCTTGGTGACATGGCGGTCGAATGTCGAGAAACAAGTCGGATCGCCAGACAGGTCGTCAAGAAATGGGTATGGGTCAAAAAAATAAACCACCATGAAAACCACAAATTTGAGTCCTTGTTTCCATTTACCAGGGTTCCATTTTGGGTACATATTTTGACCCACAGCCAAATCTTGCTACGCCGGCTCACCCATGTTTTTGTTCTCGCGGTTGATGGAGCTGGAAGCCATGCTTTCCTCATGTCCGGGGAGTGCTTGGTGTGTTTGTTGTGTCACTACCATTGCCGCACTTGCTACGCTCATCCTAGGTTCCAATGACACCCAGTTCAATCTGATCCAAATGAGATTGACACTGGGTTCTTCCGGAGCCAAAAGTTCGACCGCAAGCTAGATATTACATGTTGGAGGCCCCCTCGCTACTCCTGAAATCAATGAGCCAAAACATATGTTTCTTGTCAGGGCTCCTTAAAAGATACATTTTGCTCATTTGAAACATGGCTGTTTCCACCAAAATAAAGGGACACCACCATTTACCCGGCAATGTTCAGGTGTATATTGTAAGGATCCCTGCTTGTGCAGGCATGTTTGCACGCACCAGCTTTGAGCATGAAGTATGATGGGCAGCTGGAATATGGGCCTTGTTTCCGGACGGGCTGGTGATTTTGCTGAAGGGCCCGGCACGAAGGGAATTAAATCTTTCAGTGGTGGTTTGGGAGTTTGAACCTCTGGTCTTATCGATCGATGGGAGACTTCCAAGGCAAAGTCCAAGTCAAGAGGCTGAAGCTTGTTGTCTGCTTCATGGTGGTTGTTGGGAAACATTTTTTTACATTTTTATCTTGTTGTGGTTTGATGGGACATCCTCACTTAGCTGCTGAAAGTTGAATTGTTGCTCCCCTTCCAACGTCAACCAAGACTTGCTCGGTCTGAGGGGATCCGACCTGGGCAGATTAAACTGGTTGGCGTGGGTCGGGCATCTGGGTGGTTGGGTCCTGTGTATGGGATTCCGGAATTCGGCGGCGTGAAAATGGTCGCCTTTGATATACTGTACAAGCAAATCTTGGGCCAGCAGACCTTCGTTAGTGCCCTTTGTTTGGCTGGGAGGGGATTTTAACCGCCCGTTTTAAAGACATAGCCACAGAAAAAGAGGGACCGTGCGTTTGCGAGGCAGACGGCACCGGTCGAGGACGAGGACGAGGCCGGAGCAAGCCAACCCACAAGCGGCCATATACCACCCGTCCAATGCATGTGGTCGAACATGACGCACAACTGGTGCTCGAAATTGATTTCCCTTCCTTTCAACACTCAACCCTTGGTAGCGAGCGCGTCTTGAGGTCAAATCACCCTACAAACATTCACGCTGGGCTCGTGTTGAACAGGAATCGCTTACTCCTGTCTTTGAACTGTGCATAAACTTGACAGCATCGTTCTTCCTACACCCGCTCCTCTGATTTCCAAAACCCAGAAAAGATATGGCCGTGGGCCAAAACTAGGGCAACCCCAAAATGGCTTGCCATGGCGAATGGCTGCGGTCTGGTGGCAAATTTTTGACCCATACCCATACGGGGGTTGATCAAAAGGCCTTTACATGGGCTGACTATTGGGGGGAAACCACCAAAACAATGATGGGAAAAGTTACCCAAGGTCATGCCCGGGGCCGTTCTGGGAAAACACTGATCAACCCCTAACAACGACCATATGGGTGTGTCTGTTGTTATCTCCTCTTGGTTGGTTTCAATGCAAAGGGAATCCAAAAGGCAACCAGCCATTTTGGGGGGGGCCCTATTTTTGACCCATATGCATATGTGACCCTACCAAAGCAATGTGAGAACAGCTGCGTTGGGATGAGCCTGCGAACAGACCAGCTCGCCAGGCCGCCCGCGGGGCTCAGGCCGGCGCGAGCAACTCCGACAACCCACACCCTGCCAGCAGCGGTTTCGACTGTTGAAGGTGGTCAAAGAAGTAGAGTCGTCATTCCAAAAGCGACCAGAAGAAGCAAAGCACCAAAATGCGGCCCACTATTCTGAGAAGCACACCCCAGATTTGCATTTCGATATGCTTTGAGGCAAAGAACTTAAAGGCAGGTATGGCTTTGTGTCAAACAAATTGTCCTTCTTTATTTTGCTTGAAGACTCACTTTGGTTTGGAGGCGGTTTGGCGACTTGCGGAGGCTGTTAGAGACTCCTAGGTTACTTCAAGCAGTCAGGTGTTCTGATCATGGTGTATGGGCGGAGATCTGTATTTTGTTAGAGCTGGCACCCCCTTGGCGGTTTTAAAGGGAAACCCAAATCAACGCCGTTGCACCACTTTGGGGGTCCAACCTACAAAAAGACACGCCCATACTGTGGATGCATTGAATCCTGCAAATTGAAACCATGGGAGACCATTGTTTGTTGGTATTTACAGAGGAATCGAATCATTCCAGCGTTTGTTAAGCGGTGCGAAATGGATTTCGTCCATCCACGGAGTCACCAGAACTGTTTGACCGGGATCCGGGTTTTCCTTCCGCCAGGGGGATGGGGGTGTTGCGCTCAATCCCCCGCCTCCTTTTCGCAGGAGGCCGGCGAGGCGCGGTTTTTTGGGCCTTTCGGTGTCCGTACCTCGAAGCCGGTCTTGGACATTTGGGAAACACATTGGCACCAAATCATGGTTCTTGTTGGGAAACATTTTACATTTTTGCTTGTTGTGGTTTGATGGGAAATCCTCACTTAACTGCCAAGAAATAAATTGTTGCTCCCCTTCCAACGTCAACCAAGAAATGTCTGTTTTCCCCCTTATTATTTGGAATGATTCATGTATTCTGTATTCTGTGTTGATGTGTTGCCAGACTTTTGCGTGTCCTCTTTGTTCCTTCTGCCCTTCCAAGTGTGTCCTTCTGAAAGCTCGCAAAACGGTTGGGTCCCTTTGGCCAGGTCTGGAAGGACTTTGGGACTTCAGCCTGGGGAATTCGAGGTTCTGAGAGAGTTGTTTAACTGGGTCCCCCGCTGGTCCCCTGTTACCGTTTCTTTTTTGGGGGAGGGTTCCCCTACTAAAATAGACTACTGAATAAAGGGGTAGCCTTATTCTAACCTCTCAAATCTGGAGGACCGCGTGTTGATCCCTCAACCTCGGCATGTGGTCAGCGGG